TAAATTAAAAATAAAAAAGCCAAATAAAACAATTAATAAAATTTCTAAAAAAGAGAATAAAATGTGTGCATCAACATGGTAACATTCTGCATTGCATGCATGATAGTTTTTTTACGAAAAGTAAATTTGATCCTTCGATGATGAGATTCTGCGGTATTCGAAAAAGCGATGCTTAAGAAATCTCTAGGTGAAAAGTTTTTCTAATGTTACCAACGTACTGAAACATTTTAAGAATTATTTCAATAAAAGCGTTCTAATTTATTTTTTTCAAATAATATATAAAAATCAATTTCCAATAAATGAAAAATCAAGAAAATTATTTTTCAAATACAAAAAATAAGACAGTTTTTATCAAAATTAATGGATAAAACATAATTAATTGGTACTATTTTAAACAGGCTTTGTGAGGTGTTAATCATTCCCTACATGTAACTGACTTTCGAACTCAGACTATTACGCAGACCCTAAAATTATCCTTTTAATAAATTTTAATTAATTTTAAGATTTCATTAAAAGGATATGTTTTAATAGGTGGCTAATTGTACCTAGCCAAAAAGGATTGGTGACGACTCTGTTATTTTTTATTTCGTTTTCAAATTCGTCGGATAGACACAAAACCGTTACAATAGCTTGACGACTCCACTGGGGACGCTTTTTGTTTTTGAGAGTCAAGCCAAAATTAACTATATGTTATCCTTAAATTTTGATTTAAACAGTCCTAATCGGTTTCTTAGATTTTTATTTTACAAAAAAAAGTAAAAAAAATTGAAAACAAAAAGAAAAAAAATTCACACACGTTTCTTTTACCATGCCTCTTATGCTTTATTTTTTGTATATATTACTCTCAATAAATTAGGATATATTACGCACACAATAACATGATATATCTCATGCATGAGCTTTATACCTAGGCTTCGTCCCTTATAGGAGGAAGTAAAGTACCTATATCCTTGTGAGGTGATAACCTCTGCAATAACAAGCGAAATACTTCCACTCAAATTGAACCCTTTTTGTTTGTAGCTTGTAATGGGTGAAGATCGAGGTGCCTCACTAGTCCAACGTGGACGACAGTGAAGAATAATTTGGGAACCTTTAGACACATGTCAATCTAAACCCAGCATGTAATAAGCCTAAAAAATTGACCATAAGTAGAGTCTCATCCACTTTCTTGTAGGAAATACCTAAGAAAAAAGTTGTGTGTGTAATACAAAAAAAAACAAAAAAAAAATCTCAAAACTCAAAAAAATAGTTTTTCTTAATCTGTATCCTTACACTAACTCAATTTTATTTATTTTTTTTGCATTAATCATATCATACAGTTCTCCATCAAGATATTTACTTTAGGATATATTTCTCCTAACAAGTCTTTATGAATCCCATAGAACTACATATTTGCTCATCCTCAGTCAGTGTCCCATGTGAGTCGTATAATAAAATATATTGGTTAAAAGAAGCCCAACAAAAGAATGAAAATTGCTTGCCTATCGACTTTATGTCTAAGTTACCCGAGAAAGTGCATTTAGATCTCACATAGAATGATTTAGAAGACTTAGCCACAATCTGAGGTTAGTTAAATAAAAAAAGAAAAGAAAAGCTTTTGCAAGAAGTACATGTTGATTGCATCTTTCATTTTAATAATGATTGATGAACAGTTGATTAGGGCAACTATATAGTTTTGGGATCCATCCTATAGATGCTTCACTTTTAATTAAGAAGATTTGGTACCAACTATTAAAGAGTATTTGATTTTACTTGGGATAGACTACAATGTCCAAATAAAGTGTTTACCCAAAAACTAAAATCAGGTTATCGCAAAAAGTTGGTCAAACTTATGGGGGTTAAAGTAAAAACTATTGATTCCTTCGTAAAGCCTAAAGGTGAACATCTCGACATCTGTTGGGACTTTCTTCGATATTTTATTCAAGAGCATTTAAATGATGATCAAGGCATGGCTATGTTTACTCTATCATTGTATGGCATGATAATCTTTTCGAAAATTTTGGGTTACATTGAGATAATTGTGGTAGACTTTTTTGAATAAATTGAAACCCAAGCAATTAATCCTACACCAATAGTTCTAGCTGAAACCATCAGGTCGTTGAATTTCTATCGATGAAATGGAAAAAGATGATTCATAGGGTGTGCACCACTATTATATGTGTGGGTTAAAAGTCATTTCAAGTATAGAAACGGTTGCCTTTTCAAAGTCGTATCTACAGAACAAAGCACCAATTGAAGAGTTCTGCAAAAGTCGATGGTCAACATTGAAGACTAAGAAAGAGTGGGTCTTTTTTTTACGAAGGCTTATTGGAGATGAAATTGAATGGATGGTGCCTTGGATGCCTCATGTGTCTTTGTTATATCGTGGAGGAAACGAGCTATGGATACCACTGTTAGTGTTATGGGGTGTTGTAAGTTACGCTTCGTTGATGGTGCTTAGGCAATTTAGTGTAAAACAGTTTGTTCCTGCTACTCATTGCTTGGTTTAGGTAAAATTCATTTATGGAGAACCAAATCCATCAAGAACCTCGGAGCAATTGATCCAAGCAAGGAAAAAAATGTGAAGAATGAGATTATGACCTCTCATCGATAAAGTCACTCATGATTATTAGATTTAGAAAGCAAAGCAGCCTAGAGACATAGTACTCCTTCCTGATGATAACTCACACCAATCGATTAATCTTTTGACAGAAGTGCAATTATCAAAAGTTGAGCTTGTCAAGAAAGAATTAGAAGCTGAAAAAAATAAATAAGAAGAGAAAATTTAAGACTTTGCGAGAAGTTGGGACAGTTGAAATATGAAGCAGAAATACAAAGGAGTAGATTAGAAAAGATCATAAAAGAACGAGATGTGGCCAACAATGATTTGAAAGATCTACACCAAAAAAATAAGAGATTATGAGTTCAATTCAAAATTGAAAAAATCACCAAGTCTTACTTTAGTCGATAACATAAAATGGATGAACTTCAAGAGGAAATGAACCAATGGAAGGGCAAAGCTTAAGAAAAGCAAGATGAAGCCACCAGAATTTCTCAAGAATGCCAGAATTAGAAGGGGTTATACTTTACAGCTTCAGCAAGATTGGTGGAATGCCAAAAAGAAAAAGAAAGGTTGAAAGCCATGCTCGTAAAAGAGAGAAAAAAGCATCTTGAAGTACTAAATGAAAAAAAATCACTTCACCATATGATTCAAAGGTTAGGATGCAATTGCGAGACCACAAGAGCCATATTTTAGCAATAATAAATGAGTGACATAAAAGGAAAAAAGATTGGATCTTCACATATAATTTAAAAAGAGATACTCGCATGAGATAAAAAGTAAAAAGCTTAGGAAGCCAACAGCATATAGAGCACATGACCAATCAAGTTTACAAGGCAGTGAAAAAAGCATGAGAGATGGTTGAAAAAGTAAAAGTGTTAAGAGAAAAAATCAATCCCATAAGAGAATATGGACAACGCCTAGTGAACTTTTTAGACAAGGCGAATGACTATTATGAATAAGTCAAACGCTTCTATAGATATAATTCTAGGATGGTAAATCCCATGTAATCAAAGTTGTATGGAATCAATAAAAATTTTTAGTATTGAAATTTGTCAAAGAGTAAATATTTTCCACCTGCATTCATGCATCATTTATACCATTTTTGTTTTTATTTCAAAAAAATTCAAAAAATAAAATTTTTCGACACATGGCATTCTAATTTTTAAAAAATTTATGGTAATAAAGGTTCAAGAATAGCTTGTTTACTAAAAATTTTGACTCAACTCACTAGCCATTCATATAACACCAGGACTCAAACAAGAATTATGGAACAAGAATAGGTCTGTCAATTTGAAAGAATCAAAAAAGCTCAAGAAGAATTAAGAGGGGATTTTAGTATAATAATGGATGTGCTAAAAAAACTTGATAAAGAAAAAATAGTGGAAGGAAATCCCAGCTTTCAAGAACAATCGTCAGACATGGTGGATCTTGTTTACCCTTCAGGATTTAAGCTACGACTGACCTAACCTTCTCAAAGAATCAGAGTACAGATTTTTACTCCCGGTGGATATTATAATCCTTATCTAGAAATGACATCCACACCTGTTCCAAGATAATTCCAAAATTTTGTTAGTCCTATTATGATGGAAAAATCACCCGAGCCAATCTTTGTTCCTGATTCGAATGATCCTAAAGAAAAAAAAAAGCTAGGATAAAGATATCTGAGAAAGTGAAAGATACTAGTGCATAGAAAAAGATGAAGCTGTTGAAAGAAAAGATTAGGGCAGTAGAAGGAATAAATTTTTATGGCTCTACAGATGCAACCGAGCTTTGTTTGATCTATGATGTGATCGTTTCATTTAAATTTAAAGTCTCTAAATTTGAAAAATATGATAGCATGAAATGTCCAATGACCCATATCACCATTTATTATCATAAGATGGCAGCACATACTCGTGATGAGAAGTTGTTAATACACGTATTTCAAGATAACCTTACAGGATCTGTAATCAGATGGTATGTTTAACTAGATAACACTTGTATTCATTCCTGGCAAGAACTCACAAGGGCATTTCTTACACAATATCAGCATGTTAGGGATCTAGCTCCAAATTATTTATCTTTACAGAGTATGGAAAAGAAAACAACTGAGAGCTTTAAAGAATATGCACAAAGATGAAGAGATATCATCGCACAAGTACAACCTATCTTCATTGAGAAAAAAATAACTGTCTTATTTATGAATACTCTGAAAGCACGTACTACGAGATATTAATAGGCAATGCCACTAAAAACTTTACAGATATGATAATATCTGGTGAAATTATTAAAAATATCATAAAAAATGGCAAGCTCGATGCATGAGAGATGAGTGAAGCAAAAAAAGGTGAAGCTCCTAAAAAGAAAGAGAATGAAGCTCAAGCGGTGAACTATGTGAAGTAACAGTTAAGAGGTTTCATGCCTTACCCTGCACTAGTCTACCAAACCCATTACCTTTTTATAAATAATGTTACATCCATCATTCAGCCTTATCAGCCATATCGACCTCTATAACAACCAGCTTATCCACCTCAGTTTCAACCATCTTTTCAGACATCCACCTATTCTTACAACTGTTCTACTGCACTTACAAGACCAAAATAAAGACCTTGTTCAAATAGTGGTTTTAGAGCTTCAAGAAATATCTAAAAAAAACTCGCTTTTGACATTATTCCCATGACATATATCGATTTTACCCTCGGTTTGTCAAGAAACATTTACTAGCCTCTGTTATTGTTGAGCCTTTGAAACCTCTATTTTCTAAATGGTATGACCCCAATGCACATTATGATTATCACTACGGGAACCTAGGTCATTCCACTAAAAACTGTACTACTTTGAAACATAAAGTGTAGAGGTTAATCAATAAAGGGATGTTAAACTTTGAAACCAGCCAATGAAAAATTCTAAATGTTAGTAGAAACCCTCTACCGAACCATACTAGACCATCAATAAATGTTTTAATTAAGGGGCAAACAAGCCACATGAAAGAAAAGATAGATAAAGTTAAGATTTCAATGGCTAAAATGTATGAAATCTTGATTAAGGTAGATATTTTGAAGTCAGTAGAACCTCAAAATTGCTCTGAAGCGATCAACTCAACTGAGAGCTATAATTAACATAGATGGATGGAGGTGATTTACTTACTCTGATAAATTCAGATGTTGTAAAGAAAAATTTTGCTTAAAAAAAGAGAAAAAACAAAACAAAAACAAAAAGTGAAAAAGAATGACATATCTAAGTTGAAAATCTGAAAAAAGTGGCTTAGATGCGAATGAGAAGTTTCATCAAGAGAAGATCCTACAACACAGGGGCAAATGTAGTTTGACGAACTCTGAAGGATCAAGGAAGTCATTTGATTTAGTTTTAGAAAAAAAATTTGGGAATATTTTATTCATGATTATCTTATGATCATTATTTGGGCACCTTTGTTTAGACTCAAACACTTTGTCGTGCACTTATTATCAATCTAATGAAATATGCCTATCCATTCCTTTATTCTTATTTGATATTTTTGTTCACCGTACAAATACGATAAATGTGTGATTGCATTTTATTTGTCTTGAACTTAAAATGATGAAAAGGAAAACAAACATGAAAAATCTCAGCATTACTTTTTTAAAAGTTGACAAAGATAGATGAAAAAAAATGAGAAAAACATGACAAGACATTAATGTTGCAAGCTTTTGAAAAAGAAAAGTATTGTTAGAGAATAATACAATGGTAAGATGTTAAGAATAGATTGATCATATGGCAATTGTTGAGAATTCTGACAAAAGAAGCAAAAAGTAAGAGATTTCGAGAACCTTTTTACTATAATGAATAATTTTGATTGCATTATATATATTGCATTTAGAACACTTAGTACATGCATTTATGAGTAGTTATAATAAGGACAGAGACTTTCCATTTCTTAATGAAAAATAAGATTTTGATATTCGGATGAAGATAATAATCAAACAAAAGATTTCAAAAGAGAGAAATTTACTTATTCAAAGATGAGAACTCGATTTTGAGAACAGATGAAATTTTTAAAATTGTTAAGCTTTTACTTAGAGGAGCTTTTTCAAGATGAGATTTTTAAAGTTGTTGAGCTTATATTTAGATGAGCTTTTTCAAGATGATGGATTTTTAAAATTGTTGAGCCTTTGTTTAGAGAAACTTTTTCAAGATGATGATTTTTAAAGTTGTTGAGCATCTGCTTAGATGAGCTTTTTTCATATGAAATTTTTAAAGTTGTTGAGCCTCTACTTAAAAGAGCTTTTCTAGATGAGATTTTTAAAGTTGTTGAGCCTCTACTTAGAGGAGCCTTTTTAGGATGAAAAATTTTAAAGTTGTTAAACATCTGCTTAGAATAGCCTTTTTCAGATAATATTTTTAAAATTATTGAGCCTCTACTTAGAGAAGCTTTTCTAGGATGATGAATTTTAAAGTAAAGTTGTTGAGCCTCTGCTTAGATGAGTCTTTTTTAGATGAGATTTTTAAAGTTGTTGAGCCTCTGCTTAGAGGAGCTTTTTCAGATAAGATTTTTAAAGTTGTTGAGACTCTGCTTAGAGGAGTTTTTCCAGGATGATAAATTTTAAAGTTGTTGAGCCTCTGCTTAGATGAGCCTTTTTTAAAATTTTCAAAAGTTATTGAGCCTCTACTTAGAGGAGCTTCCTTAAATTTTCAAAAATGTCATTGAACCTTTGTTTAGAGCAATCCTTTAAAAAAAAAGATTTTGTTCTCAATGTTTTTTCTTTTAAAACAAAATGGTTGTTTGTTTGTCTTTGCCTTATTCCTGATTCTCAGAAATAGCAAAAATGGATAGCTGTGAACACCATTTTGTATTATTATTATTATTATTATTATTATTATTATCATTATTATTTTTTCATATATTTTTTCCTTTTTTCTTTTTCTTCTTTCCTTATCTTGTTCAGTTTGACAAAAGTATGAATGCATTAAATGCACCATCACCGAAAGTCCAAAATCTCAGCCACTGCCACCACCGACAGTCGCTTGACATCCTGCCTAACTTGGTAGAGTGGATTTTGGCTTGAAAATCTAGGATTTGAATCCTAAAAAATATGGGATTTGAATCCTAAAAAGCTCTATAAATAGAGCTTGATTTTGGCACCAAAAAATAAAAAGGATCGAAAAAACTACCAAAAAAGGTTTAGAATAAAAAAAAACTTTATATCAAAAAAAGGATACCTTGCAAAAAAAATTTTTTAAAAAAATAAAAAAAATCCAGAAACACAATCCATTGGAACGGAAAACCCAGCACCCAGAGCCCCTGTAAACAAAAAAAAAATCAGTAAAAAAATGAAAGTCAAAATAAAAAGAAATATAAAGTTTAACCGAAAGTTGGGAAGTCGATCTAGGCTGTTTGGAACACTTTCAGGTGAAACTAAGCTTAGATCTATGCTCAGGGGGCAAAGGAGAATTTTTTAAGAGTTTTTAAGATTTTTCGACGATCGACGATTGTGTCGAGACTGGCGACGGCGTTGAGATCGGTGACCGATGGCCAACACGACAGATGGCCATCGGCCTATTATCTTAGAGAGAGTCTGAGAGAGTGTGGGAGAGGTTTTTTTTTCTAAAAGAAGAAAGAAATGATCGAAAAAAAAATTTGGGTCCTTTTATATAAACTGCTAAAACCAAAGTGACGTTATTTCAATAAAGATCAAAACGACGTCGTTTTAGCCCTTGAGGATCCGAGCGTCAACCTGTGACCTAACTCGGGGTCCATGAATCTGACTCGATGACCTGTTTATTCCTCAACCTCTGACCAGTCCAATTAAATCGACCCAGACCAAATTGAATTATCCCCGAACCGTTGATGTCGAACCGCCCTAATTAGACCAAACTGCTGACGCCAGATTGAACCACCAGAATAAACCACGCGTTGATCGTACTGTTGACCGATCCGGTTCAAGTAAAAAAAAATTATTTTTTTAAATTTTTTTAAGATTTTTTATATATTATTTTTGTTATTTTAATTATTATTCTTAATATTTATGCATGTTAAAATGTTTAAATTTACCAAAATAAAATTTTATTATTTTATAATAATAATTAATAAAATTATATAATAAAATATATAATTAAATTTTTTGATATTTTTGAATAAACCTTATAAAATAATTGGTAAAAAATTTATAATTAAATAAAAATAATAAAAAATGTAAGAAAAGAAAATTTTTATCCAACGAAAAAAATTTTTATCCTACGATGAGATTTAAGGTACCCGGAGTAGTGATGCCTACGAAATCTCTAGGTGAAAATTTTTTTTTAAATACTACCTGTAGACACCCAATTGGGTCCGGGCCCAGATCAATTGGGCCTGACCCAAATGGGTAAGGCCCATTTCAATCCTGTATATTTTTTTTCTTCTTTTGTATTTTATGTATTCTATTATTATTATTATTATTATTATTATGTATATCTTTATTTATTTATTTATTTTTATTCAGATTAGATTTATATGTATTTTATTTATACAGTTATATATTATTATTATTTTTTTGTGTAATATATTTTTGGGTTTATCTTATTTTATTTGTTATTATTTTTTTTAATCATCTGTTAATTCTATCTTCTTTTTCCCGAATTATCTGATATTATTTTTAATTTTTAATTTTTGATTTTCTTTTCTAATTATCTAGTTTTTTTTTTATTTTGATTTTGGAGGGCTGAGATTGAAGGCTGAAGAATCCCATTGGAAGTGGGAATTCAATCAGAAGAGTCCAGTGGGATTCAAAGATTGAATTCCCGTCCAAGGAGGAATTGGGATTGATCAGAAACTCTTGGAACAGTTCAGAAACAGAGAAAACAGTAAGCAAAGCTACTGATTTGAGAGAAAAGGAGGCGTATAGGAAGCTAGAAAAAGTTTAGGAGTGTTCTGGGAGTGAGAAAAATTTTTTAGAAATTTTTGGCGAAAATTTTTTCTGGAAATTTCTGGGAAATTTCCAGATTCCGACGAAAATTCCGGCGAAGTTTGAATTTTCCGGCGAAAATTCCGGCCAACATTGAAGTTTCCGGCGACCTGCCCAGTTTCCGGCTAAGAATCCCAGAAACCGGCTACTTTCCGGCCAACTTCCGGTGAAATTTCCAGATTCCGGCGAAAATTTCCAGAATCCGGCACCGGTGTTCTTCGGTTTCTAGAGAGAAGGGAGAGAAAAAGGAAGAAGAGAGAGAGAGGGGGAGGAGCGTTCTGCTGAAAAACGGAGGAAGGTGCCTTTTATACCCTCCCAAAACGACGTCGTTTTGGCCTTAAGTAACCCAGAGGATCCGCGCGTTTTGCCGCAACCCGACCCGACCCGGGCGTCGACCCGCTTTCTGACCCGCGCGTGCCAGCCCCCTCCGAGTCGAGCCGAGCCGAGCCAAGCCGCCAAGCGGCTCCCCCCGAGCCGTTTTCCTGCCTTGAGCCGAGCCGAGCCGCGATCCGAGCCGCTTCAGGTTTTTTTTTTTTTTTTTTTTTCTTTGAATTTTTTTTATTTATTTCTTTGTTTATTTTAATTTTTATTTATTAGATTAGGTTTATGTAATATTCTTTTTATTTATTTTTTATTATTTT